GGAGGGGATTGAATTGTACATGATATCCATTGCTTTCGCGCCAATTTACTCAGGCTCAGCTTTGCTTTGCTACTATTCGTTTGTAATTAGTAAAAGTACACTTAATTCTAAGAATGGAGTTGAGTGGTTTCTTTCCTGATTATTAAATGAAGGAGCACCTGACAGCCTCTTTGCCTTAGCCTGCTGAACAAGCATCTCTCCGAATTGGAGAAGGCCATGCTGTGCCTTTAGCCTCCAAGCTGAAACGATCAGAGTTCAAGGTTTCCCAGCTGTTAATGTCCATTCCCAAGGCCTTAAAATCCCTCTTGCAAATATCCTTGTATCACAGCTGTGGTCTCCCTCTGGGGCGCTTTCCCTGCCCTTATAATAATCCCTGCCATTAATATAATGATCATTATAATCATAAAATACATAACTTTGTTTCCTAAGAGGGAGACAAAGCTGTAGATATACAGGCAGGCTTTGACTTACAAGAACAAAAATTCTAAGCGAGACATTTGTTAAGTGAGTTTTGCCCCATTTTACAACCTTTCTCGTCACAGCTTTCTAAGTAAACCACTGCGGATGTTATGTTAGCAATACAGTTTGTTAATAGAGTTTTCCCATTAATTTTGCTGGTCAGAATCTCAATTGCCAAACATCTGAATCTCGATCACATGACCAGGGCGATACCGCAACAGTCGTAAGTGTGAAAATGGTCGTAAAGGGCCATTGTAACTTTGAACAGCCACTAAATGACCTACTGTAAATCAGGACTACCTATATATCTTTCCAATCTGCATATTTCCTCAGTGTTATTTTGCTTCTTGATCACCAAGCAGAGAATAGGGAAGGTGGCATCGATCTGGAAAGATGTCCCAAAATATGTTTGTCCTTCCCATTATTGGGAATTTTACTGTACAGACCACTCTATTCTAGCACTGGCTATAGTTACGGTTGGAAATAAATATCCAGGCTAAGAAAAATGTGAGGATTGAAAAAAAATAAGAGGAAGAGAAACACAAAATTGCAAACGTAACAAGGAATGTTTTTAAAACGTATAGAGCAACAAGGCAGTTAGAATGGAGCAATGTCAGAAAGCTTAAAGTTCTTTATGGAAATTCAGCGGGGTGAACCTGAGTCGGTGTTAAACCAAAAATCAGAATTGAAGAATTGAAGCTCTTTACAGAGCTTTAAGCGTGAGCTCTAGTCCTGCCTTAAAGATGAAAACCAGATAGGTGACTTTGGTTCCAATCACCAGGGGAAGGGAAATTCTAGTTCCACTTTAGACATGAAAGCCAGCTGGGTGACTTTGTTGCCAATTCTCAGGAGATGGTGAGCTCTAGTTCCGCCTTAGGCATGAAAGCCAACTGGGTGATTTTGGACCAGTCCCTCTTTCCCCACCCAATCTATATTTCTGCCCATATATCCTTGCAATGAAGAATACTCCATCAGAAGCCAGGAGTCAGACAGAAGGTAAAAAGTGATGCCATCCCAAACGAACCAAACCGCAGTATGGCTGGCTTAGAGCAGGTTGCAAACCAGCATCCACTCACCAGATCCTGCGGCATTGACCCTTTCCACAGCCACCTGGGCCCAGGCTCCAGGGGCTGACCCACAGTCAAGGACATGCAGCCCAGGCCGAAAGAGGTGATGTTTGTCGTCAATCTCCAGCAATTTGAAGGCACTTCGGCAACGATAGTTCCTCTCTTTGGCTCTCTTCACAAATGGGTCTCGGAAATGTCTCTGCAGCCAGCGATGCTCTGCCCCGGTTTTGGATTTCAGGTGTTGCCCCGTGGTGTGGATTTTCTGGATCTGGAGTAAAAGGGTGGGCAGCAGCTGATGTCTGCAAAGGAGAAAAACCAGTGGAATTGCTGAAAATTTGCAGGATGGGTGGATGGATGGAGGGAGGGATGAAGGGAAAGAGGCAGGGAGGAAGGAAGGAAAAAGGAAGGAAGGAAGGAAATGGAAGGAAGGGAGGGAAAGGGAGGGAGGAAATGAGAGAAGAATGGAGGGAAATGGAATGGAAGGAAGGATGGAGGAAATGGAAGGAAGGAAGAGGGAGGGAGGGAGAGAAGGAAGGAAATGAAATGAGAGGAAGGGAGGGAGGGAGGTAATGAAATAAGAGGAACGAAGGAAGGAAAAGAGAAGAATGGAAGGAAATGGAAATGAAGGAAGGAAGGAAGGAAGGAAAGAAGGATGGAAGGAAGGAAATGAAATGAGAGGAAGGAAGGAAAATGAGAGGAAGGAAGGAGGAAGGTAGGTAATGAAATAAGAGGAAGGAAGGAAGGAAGGAAGGAAGGAAGGAAAAGAGAGAAGGATTGAAGGAAATGGAAATTAAGGAAGGAATGAAGGAAATGGAAATGAGAGGAACGATGGATGGATGGATGGATGGAAGGAAGGATGGAAGGAAGGAAATGAAATGAGAGGAAGGAAGGAAAATGAGAGGAAGGAAGGAGGAAGGTAGGTAATGAAATAAGAGGAAGGAAGGAAGGAAGGAAGGATTGAAGGAAGTGGAAATCAGAGGAAGGAAGGAAGGAAGGTAATGAAATAAGAGGAAGGATGGAAGGAAAAAAGAAGAATGGAAGGAAATGGAAATGAAGGAAGGAAGGAAGGAAAGAAGGATGGAAGGAAGGAAATGAAATGAGAGGAAGGAAGGAAAATGAGAGGAAGGAAGGAGGAAGGTAGGTAATGAAATAAGAGGAAGGAAGGAAGGAAGGAAGGAAGGAAAAGAGAAGGATTG